TAAACGAGTTGCCCGAAGTTCTAGGCGTACCGTCCCTCTTGTTTGCCGATGACTTAAAAGTCTGGTGCCCAGTGACCAACTTCGATGGTCCCCACTATTTACAATAGGCCCTCGATAGAATATGGGACTGGTCCACTCTGTGGCAAATGCCTATACTGCGTCTAGGGTCAAACGATCCCCCAAACGCTATTTGCTTGGAGGGCATGAGATACCTCAGGTTTCCCAGCAGGTTGACCTGGGTGTTGTTCTTTCATCTGATTTCAAGTCTAATGAGAACTGGAAGAATGTTCCCGGCAAAGGTTTCAGAAGGCTGTGGATGATCTGCAGGTCGTTCGGAATCATTACACCGGAAATGTTCACCAGACTGTTTCCGGCCTTCGTCAGGCCGCACCTAGAATATTGCGTCCAAGCTTGTCTACCGTGTTTGGTTCAAGATAGGATGTCAGTGGTGCGGATCCTTACGATAGGCACAAAAATGATTCGAGGACTACGTCACCTGTCATATGCCGAGAGACTCCTTAAGTTCGGAATGTTTTCGGCGCACTATCGCCGACATCGTGGCGACTTGATTTTGACTTATCGTATTCTGACAGGGAAGATTGGCACTGATTTGTCTTGGCTTTTTGAGCCAACTCTACTACCATCTCTCCGTGATCATCCGATGAAGTTTAGTTCTAGGGGATTTTAACCTCCCGGAAGTCGGGTTGGCCGACTTTTCTTGCAATTCGGCGTCAGGAACATTCGGTACGGACTTCCTTGAGCTGACTCTCCAAATGCCTTCGCACCAATTCGTGGGCTTCTCTACTAGGTATATGGAGAAATAAATACCATTAGTTGAGATCTGATTTTCGTTAAGTCCCTGGACTTCGTGACTGACGTTTCGTACGGTGCACCACTAAGGCCCAGCGATCAGGCATGCATATCCTTTCGGGGTGCTCTTTCAAGGCACCAACAGACCGCCATTGAATTACTTCCGAATGTTTGGCGGGCGGACTTTAGTGCAATGCGAGCTAAGGCTTCAGTTCCGAACTGTGAGATCTCGATGATCAACTCTGTCCAGCTAGTCTAGGATAAATTTAAGGAACACTTTTTGGTTTTCACTCCCGATATTCCACTCATGAGGAAAAGAGGGTTACGGGCATAGCCTCCATGGATAGATACCACAAGCAAGTACCTACTCAAGAAACGGTCTAGACATTGGCGAACCTACCAAGCAGCTCCATCAGGTAGTAACTATGACAGTTGTCGATAGATTGTAAGCAACATCTCAGCAATGCTCGCCTCCAGTACAAGCAGGGTTTAGCGGACTCGGTCGCAGCTAATCCCAAGTGTTTTGCTTACGTTAAAAGACGCAGCGGGTCAAAACTGTTTATACCAGCGTTATTGCGAGTAGATGGGACCCGTGCGAGAACTGACTATGGACTTAAGCTTCTCAGTGTTGCGCAACATGAATTCCGCAAGGGATTTTCGTGTCAGACTAATCTACTTGTAACTCGTGAAAGCCGGACCGAAGCGGTAGACAGTGGCCACGTTGTAGACGTGCTATTCGTGAAATTTTTGAAAGCTTTTGAGACCGTCAGTCAACCTTGACACTCACTAAAGTGGAGGTTTTACGGGATACCTGGTAGCGCCCTTAAATGGGTGTCTGCTTTTCTTGAGGGGATGGAACAGTAAGTACGGGTGGGACGCAGCCTTTCGTTCAGGCAACCTGTCCTTAGTGGCATCCCGCAAGACTCGGTATTTGGGCCACTGTCGTCCGCGATCAGCCGGGGAAGCTAGGAGTGTCCTCACAAACGTTTGCTGATGACCTTAAGCTCTGGAACATCGTGGATATCACGGGTGGTCATGAGACAATTCAGTGCCCTAGATAGGCTATAGGAATGGTGTACATTATGGTTGATGCCAATAAATAAGGTCAAGTGGGCTGTTCTCCGAATCGGAGCTGCTAGTCCTCCCACCCGATGTTGTCGGCGGTGGTGAAATCCCTGTTGTCACTCAGCAGGTTGATGTAGGGGTCGCACGCTCATCTGCACTTCATTCTGGCGACAGCGCGAAGAAGGCTGCTTGTCGGGTGTTTCGTATGATGCGATTTAACCTCTGTTCTTTGTGAGTCCTAACGGCCAATTTGTTTGTGAAGCTATTCTTGGCATTCGTCCGACCCCACCTGGAATATTGTATCCAGGCTTATCCGCCATGTCTTATCGGAGACAAAATGGACTTGGAGAGGGTGTTACAAATGGTCACTCGGTTAGTGCAGGGTCTACGGTGACAGATGTATTTTGGACGCATGCTTAGTTTGTGGATGTACGCCATGCACTAACGAAGGAGAAGAGGGGAACTGTTACTCAGTTTGTTTTTGACGGGTAAAATCGGCCCGGACTTGTCAGGGCTATCTAGTCTCCTTGGTCACCCACTGAAAATACATAAACCACGGTCTGATAGGATTAGGACGGAAACTCGTCTTTCGCGCAGAGTTAGATCGCTGGAATTCGCTTCCAGATCATGCGGTTAGGGAATCTACGGTTAAGGTCTTTGCGCACCAGCTAGATGCTCTTGGGTGGCAACACCAGACCTTTCCTTTTTCCTAAATGACTCACTTTCAATTTTCAGCTCCTCTTTTAAAGACTAAAATATCTTGGTATTCGCCGTGCTCAGCTCTTTCCAAACTCTTCTTTCCTTCCGAGTTTACTTTCCTCTTTCTTACTTCACGTAACCGGCCCAGCAGGGGCTGCTAAGGCAAGATACGTAGGCATTAATTGGTTGGACAGGGTGTGATGCGGTATTTATTTAAGGTCCATCTGTGTTGCAATGTCTTCCAAATCCTGGTTCAACGACTCGCGGAAAAAGGAACACGCACGTTTCAGTCCAACCAGAATTTGACCGAAAACCGTCCTAAATGTGTCCAATTTGGACGGTCAGGGGCATGAAAACGGTCACATAGGACGCTCAAATAACGCAGCTTCAAATACTGGTCAAGCCGGTATGGGAATTGCTTTTAGTCCCCTGGTCATCATCATCAACACCAGTACATCAGCCATTTGAACTGATGCTTCGCTGCCATACAATCATGAGGACCTATGAAATAAAGAATAAGACGAGGAAGAGAAGGGGGACTTACCTGAAAACCTTAATGCTCTAAGCAAACATTCAGACTCAAGGCGCCTACACCTTGTGTAGACAACATTCTGTCACAAACAGCTGGCTATCGTGCAAAGATAAGGCGGCATCGGCGAGACAGCTTCCTTGCGGCTTTCACTGCCACGCGTCATAATCAGCCATTACCCCGCAGATAACTCAGTACCGAACACACTTTAAACAGACAATCCGATTAGGAGACGGCAGCAGACGCACCACTGGTGTCTACTGCGAGCCATGTCCTGTTAAGTCTCGAGCTAAGCACAAGGCGAGTCACGCGGACTCTAGCACGGAAAGCGAGACAGACCAACGGCACCCAGTTTGGTCGTCAGTGACTTCATTTCCCGCTGCCAAGTCAACTTCTGTTTACCTCGAGTCTTGCGCCACATTACACCTGGCCCTCCTAGATAAGCGTGGATCCGGAATAGGTAGCATGTGCCCAAGGCAACGCAACTTATTTAGTGCTATCTGTTGTTCTGGGGAGGTAGCATGATTATCACTACCCAGTACTCTCCTACGCACATGATCCGTGCAGACACGCTGATGCCATCCGACACCAACAATGCTTCGCAGACAACGATGATCAAAGACAAAGGCGCCTCAGATCTTCAGACCGAAGGGGCCAAGTTTCACTACCATAGAGCAGGACGGCCCTCACGGCGGACTTTCATACGGAAGAAAAATCCTTTCTGGCTCCAAAGATGCCTTAGGTTCAAGAAGGTAGTTCTGGCCTTTGCAATGCGTGAACTGACTTCAGTTTCTGTGCGCCCATGGCTGCTGATTCAGCTGCCAAGTGAATTGATCAACCACCTCGAGCTCCACATTAGCAAGCGTCAATGGGTCATAAAGTGACTGGTGGTCCTGCAGCGACACTTTGCACTTTGAAGGTGTGAAGCGCATACCAAATAATGGGATCACTCTAGACAGGCTATTCAGGGTTGATTGTGCCGCCGTAACATCGTCGAAAAGCAAGACGATATCGTCTGCATAATCAAGAGTAACTAACCTTTCACCAGGTAGTACGTCACCACCTACACGGTGAGATTCCGCAAGGGGACACTCCATGATAGAGTCCACGACGAAATTGAACAAAAACGGGGAAACCGGACAACCCTGACGAACGCCACTTGTGATTGGAAAGCTGCCCAACAGGTCACCGTAGACCCTGACGCAGCATGTAGTTGTCGAGTATAGATATTCACATTTTTCATGGGAACACTTTTCCGCGCAATTATTTCGAACTGAATGGATCGGTCGAATCGAAAGCACTCTTGAAATCGAGGATGACAGCTATTGTCGGTCTGCGGTATGCGTGACGTTGCTCTGCCACTTGCCGCCAAGTGAATATATGATCTATACGTCCTAGGCGAAAACTTGCCTGCTCTTCCCCAATCAACGATTCCAGTTGCATAGTGAAGCGACGAACGGGAATATAGGCCCGTAATTTTGTCACAACTGGCGTTAGGCAAACACCCCTGTGGTTAGAATTGTCTGTGCGACAGCCCTTCGTGTATATTGCCACTATAATCGATTCTTTCTAATTAGCCAGAACACTTCCTTCCAGATACGTTCGAACAGGGAGGGCAGTGTTTGCAGAGAACCTCACCTCCATCCTTAATTAGTGCAGGTGTAAAGGAAGCCGGGCCAGCGGCACGAAAACGATTGAGGGCTGTGATCGCGTTTCGGACTTCGGCCTCCGACGGAGGCTGTAAACTAACCGTCCATGGCTTCTCCTGCATATCCTGGGTAAAAAGAGGTCCTGGAGCAGGGAAATTTAACGCTGTTATTTTATACTCTATACGATAAAAAGGTAAGCACAATAATAAAGTGCATCATAAACTTAGAAGCATAAAAATTTTTCGTACCTGATCGAGACACTTAAGCTGCTCTAGGGGATACACGACAAGCTTGCACTGCGTACAAGTCTTAATCAAGCTCATCGAACAAATTTAAACTGCCTGATCACCTAGTGACCTTCAGATTTTAGACGCATTCTGGTAAAAGCCACCCTTTTCCTAATGATTTGAAACAATGAGTATGCTTTCTTCCAGCTCCTGCTACCTGACTTCCATCAATCCTGAACTGAAGCTGAGACCTCGAATGGTGGCGAAACGTTTACAATCAAGTTGCGCAGCTCGTAGAACTCCCAAAAACTGAACCCAGCGTATTGATTGTCACCAACTAATTATCTTATATAATATATTAAATTGTAATCTGTTTGTGCTCAGGTGCTGATAAATGTTCATTTTATACTATTTTGTACCATTGAAATGGACGCGGTAACTGCAATTTTGCGGGGTGTAATAACCTTTAGATTCCCCATTGCTGTGTAAATCAATGCTAAATACTATGAAATCATAGTAGTCTCATACATTAGAGAAGTAAGCGGTTTGCGTGTTTGTATGTGACACCCCGACAACATCCGGACTTTTACCGCGGACTTCGAAAATAACGCCGGTTCTCCGCTAGCACTCGACACCTTACCACATACTCCCTTGCTAGGCATCTTTCTGTGCTTTACTTTTAGTCTTAAGCTTTAGCAACCTTCTAATAAACATTTTTCTAGCTTATTTCAACGTGTTCTGCTGCACGCCTTTGGTTAGTCATTAAATTTATTATCGGAATAGCTTTAAAATAAGGGGTTATAATTGTTGACAACCAACTTATAATCGATGACGCAGTTACAATCGTTGGGTATTCTACTAACTATTTTTCGCTTGCTGCCATTTTTTCGTTTACACTTTTACTTTTCCATATGTTGTATTGGGTTTTCATTCTGGTGGCTGTGATTTTCGGTATGGAGGTGATAAACTTAGATTCGGACTCCTAGGTTAGTACTACTAGTCTCCCTATACCTCCTTTACGCATCACTTGTTCTCGCAAATTGAATCAAAGTTCCTTTTTTACGTCCTTTTAAATCCAGTTACGTTAAGTTCCACCACCGTAGCCGCGCTTCCACAGCATGTGATCGACGACCTGGAAGAATTCTAGGTTTGCTAGAGGATCAGCAAACTTATGAAACAATTAGTGCCGCAGTTTTGAAAAGATCGGGTTTGTCCGACCGACAAAGAAAACAATACTTATGCGAAACACAACTCGGTGACCTTAAGCCGCCTCAGTTGTTAAGAAAAATGCAGAACGTAGCCAAGCACACTACTATAGATGACAAGTTTCCCCGGGAGATGTGGTTACAACGACTGCCTCGTGGGATGTGACACGTTCTTTATGCTACTGGCGATGCTTCACTGGCCCTATTAGCTGACACCGCCGACGGTATTTGGGAATCATACGCTCAAGTTTCTCAGGTCCAATGGAACTCTGATGGGAGTTAGCGGAACTCAGGGCGCAGACGGCCGAGCTTAGTAAACGAGTCGCAGACTTTTCAGTTTCCATATCTAACCGCATATCCCGTCCCAAAAGCCTAACCAGTTCTCGTTCCTCGCCTAGACCATTTTATTGCTGATATCACAAGCGATTTGGTGCGCAAGCCCGACCATGCTTTTCCCTTCGTTCCATTAAGCGCCAAACTCAGGTAAACGGACCGACCAGCAATTAAGGGCGACGGACGTCGCTGGTCATCGCAATCGCCTTTGCTTTCTTACCGACCGAAAAACGGAACTACGCTACCTGGTTCATACAGGCGCAGCAATTAGCGTTCCCCCAATCGATCCTGCTGATGTTACTGAGACTGTAACTAGCTGATTGCCGCCGCTAACGAAACCATCATTCGAGTGTATGGTCAACGCTTGCGCACGCTCAGCCTTCAATTACGATGACTTTTTAAATGGGTATTCCTCATTGCAGACGTTCAAACACATATCCTCGGACTTGATTTTCGGTTTCACTAGGACTTCTGGTAGATACAACACAACACCGTCTCGTTGACCGTTTAACGAGTCTCACTTTCCTTGGGACTTTGACCGATACTGAGCCAAGCAGTCCTTTGTACGCGACTCAGATGAGCCCGCCCATCGGGCAACTGCTTCTCGACCATTTTCCACAGCTCTTCCGTGCGGTAACTCTGACGCCCGCCGCCACCGATGCTGAGAACCATCATATCCTTACGAAGAACCATCTGTTTTCGCTAAGGTCAGACGAGTTACGCAGGACAAACTTCAAATCACTAAAGCCGAATCCGAGCACATGCTCGAACTAGGTATACTTAGGCCTTTGAAGAGCCCGTTGGCGTCACCACTTCACATGGTGCCCAAAATGTCAGTTGACTGGCGTCCAAGTGGCGACTGCCGCCCTCTGAATAACGTAACAGTTCCTGACCAGTATCCCTTGCCACACAGTCAGGATATAACTGCTAACCTACGAAGTGCTAGTGTGTTCACGAAAATTGATCTGGTACGCACTTACAAACAGATCCCGGTCGCCGACGAAGGCAGCTAAAATCGCTGTCATTACACCTTTTGGTTTGTTCGAATTTCTTCACATGCCATTCGGTTTGCGCATTGCAGCGCAAGCACTTCAGCGTTTTATAGACTCTGCCACCCATGGATTAGGCTTTGTCTATGCTTACAGCGACGACCTATTAGTAGCGAGCTTATCCGATGACGCTCATCCACGGCATCCTAAATACCTCTTTGAAAGACTCGCTGCCAATAGTATCACTGTCAATCCAGACAAGTGCATCTTTCAGCAGCCGTCTATAGAGTTCCTCGGTCATCGCACTGATCAACATGGCATACGGCCTTTAGACGACAAGGTCTAAGCTACCTTTGGCTTTACGCTTTCGAACACGGTAGCTGCCATTCACCTTTTTAACGGCATGACCAGTTACTATCAACCATTTTTTCGGCATTGCGCCTATCTACCCAGCCCGCTGACCGACCTACTCATTGGTTGCAAGTACGGGGATGTGAAGCTTACCCCGCCGCTATTGAAGCTTTTAGTGTCAGTAATGATGTCTTGCCACCTCAGTTATGTTTCATTATTTGCACGCCAAATCGCCGCTTAGCGTTGCTGTCGCAGCATCGAACGCGACCATTGGCGCGGTTTTACACCAACTCACTAACAGACGTTGGAAGCCACTTGCTTTCTATTCGAGGCGCTTGTAACCAGCAGAACTTAAATACACCATATTCATCCGAGAACTGCTGGCTGTTTACTCGACGAGCCGGCACTTCTGACAAGTCCACGACGGTAAACATTCCGTAATCTTTACCGACCATACGTGGCGGATGTGACTCACCACAAAATAAAGTCACTGGCCCGTGGAAAGCCGGAAAATGGTATCCAACCCACGGACATCAGTCGCGTATTTTTACATTCCTGCCGCTGACAAATAGTCAAAAACTCTGCGGCCCATTCAATAATGCAAGCTACATTCATAAACAATTCTATACGTATATACACGCATACACCTACATTCACTGTTTTGCCAAACATGTACTTTTTTTACATTTTTGATCACATTATGTTAGTTAACATGATCATGCATGTAAAGGTGTGCCTCGCTTTGTCGAGAATAAAAGTTTATTTATTTATTTATAAGCCATTAACTTTCGCTTTCCGAAATCCATCCGCTTGTCACGCACCGCGTGAGGTACGTCAGCTTGATTTCATAGCACAATTTTCAACCGATATTCGACACATTTCCGGTCAACGGAATATTGCCGCTGATGCTTTCTCTAGCGTCTCCGCAATTAGCCCCGCCCAGCAGATAATTGATCTACCTGCCATGCCCGCTGTGCAATCAACTGAACAACGTCCTACAGAGCATTTCGATTCTTCCCTAAAGGAAACCCCACACCCACTACCACCATACGATGACACAATCTTATCTGGCACTTCTACAGGAGGACTTCGACCCACCGTCCCTGAAATGTTTCGTCCTCTTAGGTTTAACACGCTTCACAACATTGCCCATCCAGGCTATAAAGCGACGGTCAGTCTCATATCTGATCGATGTGTCTGGTCTCGGATGCAAGTTGATCTTACTCGTTGGGCACGCACGTGTCTCACGCGACAGTAAACCAAGATCCAGCGGCACGTATCCGCTCCACTTGGTCGCTTCTCACTCGTTCCAACGCGATGCGCCTATGTCCGCCGGCCCCGTCCAAAGGATTGGTCTACATTTTGACCATGATCGATCGTGGCACCCGTCAGCCCGAAGCTGTTCCTCTTCCGGATGTAGCTGTGGAAACCGTTAACCGCGCTTTTGCCGAGCGATGGGTAGCTTCACATGGCTGTCCAGCCACAGTGACTACCGATCGCCGTCCGCAATTCGAATCTTCTACTTTCAACAATCTTCTTAAGGCCATCGGATGTCGGCGCCTTCGTACTACCGCCTGTCATCCACAGGCGAACGACATGGTGGTACGTTTTCACTGACAGCTGAACGCTTCCCTCAGCGCCGCCTATGTACTGAGTTGGACTGAAGCTCTGCTCCTGATACTTCCTCGCATCCGATCGTCCCTAAACACCGATCTGCCTACTTCCAGAGCCAAACTGGTATATGGTCAACCCCTGGTGACTTCTTTTCCTAGAGCCCCTGAGTTCCCCGGTAGGACCCGAACTACACTCGGCAGCTAGCCAACAGCAGGCGTCAGGTCATGTTTACTGACACCAGAAAACAACAGCATACATCATCCGTGCCTCAAGATCTTCAGGGCTGCCCGTTTGTTTTCCTCCATGTTGGTGGTCTCCATAGACCACTTGAACGACCATATGAAGTTCTTCCAAGGTTCTACAATTTAAAGACCGTGTATGTATCATTGACCGATACAGCAAGCGTGAAGCCGTTACCATTGACCGCCTCAAGGTTGCCCATGTGGATACGGAGCTCTAGGCCGATGTCTGCTGATCTTCCGAAGAAGCAACGCAGCCTATGAATGAAGATACGTCTTCTCCTAACGCAACTGACTCCAAGGAGGATAATGTTTCTGGGTCTCCTTCATCGGCTCCATGGAGTTCCACCGATCGAAGCGGCAACTCATCATCCGCTCCCCCAGCCAAGTGAGCCGACATAACACCCTAGTCGACAACCTCGTCACCCGGACCGCAAAGGTGGACTGGGTCGAGTATGCTAGTACACTAGTCAGTGCGCTTGCACGATTAGCTTACCTTCCGCTTCCCTTTTCCCGCTTTCATTATCTTTC